GAGGAAGCCTACATCCACAGAAGATTGGTGGTTAGTTCTCAAAGATGTTTGGAACAACTACCTGCTGAGTTCCTTCAAAAACTGCGTGCAAGCATGTCTAGAAGAATTGTTGCGGTTTTGAAGGCAAAGGGTGGTCACATAAAATAAAAATCCAAATCATTATTTAGTTAAATTTACTTTTCATATTGTTAAATAAAAAAATAAAACTATGAACACCTCTATTTCTAAAAGCATTGTGAATTTTGCTTATAGTTACTCTGAGAGGAGAACCACATTACCCCTTGTTATCTTTTTAATTACTATGTTTTTTGCTTCTTTTATTTCCTGTAAAGCTAGTCTCTGTGCAGAAGTGAGGTTATCAGGAGTTTTAATATCTCATTTTCCCTTGGTTAGGTCTTCCTGGACTAAGTCCAGAAAGACCCAACCATTTATTTTCCTTAATTTGGGGCATTATTGTAGAATGTATCTTTAGATTAGCTTTCCTCTTCCAAACATCAGAAACCTCAGTGTCATCATCCTCACTATACTCACCTCTCTCATCCAATAGGGCTATCAAATCACTCACTGCTTGCTGATCCTCTTCCATCTTTTTGGTCAGTTAGAGGTTTACCAGAATTTATCATACCTAAATAAACTTTCCTCAAGAACAGAGACAGAGATTTTTTTTTCACACCTAAGACTTGTGCACAGTACTGTACATGTACTGTAGATATACACAGTCACACAAATTCTGAATATTAGTCATAGGTTTCGAAAAACACTTAGAAATGGCAGTAAGATTACCAGTTCTTACAGCTTTCCAAATTCAAAACCACCTTCATTGTAACTGCAAAGAGGAAAACATCAACATTAAGAAACATAACTATGGATATATGGGAAACATTTAATGCTATAACCAGCACCTGCATGAACAAGCTTTAATTTGTAAACTGCCAACTATTCAAGGCTGCTTCATTTGAAATCTATTTGTTAACTAATTTATTTCAATAAAAACCATTAACAGATGGCCGATTAGGACAGAAGGAATTAGTCATAAATTGCTACCGTGCATTAATTAATTCATAAAGCGAAAAACAAAAAAGGGGAATTCTCAAGCCAATATTGAGTCACCCCCAAAGATTTCTTCAAAACCTGGCCTACCTCCACATGATACCAGGGTTTTGAAAGGGGTCAATCATCTGGTATTTCAGGTGCTTGGTAGGCAATTTTGAACTTGCCATAAACCTTTTACCATGCTGCAACTGCATAAGGGGGAAAAAAAAAAAAAACCCACACCCCCCACCCCTAAACACACTGCATACACATCATTAACATGACCAAAAGTGTGTGTACTAAGCCTACAGAGACACTGTGAATAAGGCCTTCTGGCAAATAGATGGTTGTATTTTTGTGTGCAGTACAACTAGGGTGGACAGCCTGGTGGGGCTTGGGCAGCTTATTAAATAGCTGTCTTTACACACCCTAACAGATACTTACAAAAATACTGTTTGTTAACCCATTTTAGTTTGGGTTGAACATTACATGCATACAAGCATTTATGATGAACGTCTGATACTTTTATGACACATATGACAAAGTATTGACAACTCTGCCACACTGACCAGATAAAAAGGCATCTTCTACTTTTTAATCTGAATGTACATCTTTAACCACATGAGGACTGGAATGTTACACTCCCTTTCTGTCCAGTCCATTTTTTAGCTTTCAGTGCTGTGATACTTTAACAATTACAGTGCTTTGAAAAAGTATTCATACCCCTTGAAATGTTCCACATTTTGTCACATTACAACCAAAAAACAAATATTTTATTGACCAAACTTTTCAGATATTTGTGAAACTTTTGAAAACGCTTATTTTCCTTCCACTTCACAATTATGTGCCACTTTGCGTTGGTCTATTATACAAAATCCCAATAAAATACATGAACGTTCTTGGTTGTAACATGACAAAATGTGGAAAAAATTAAAAATTAATACTTTTTCATGGAACCGTACTACTGTACTTCAAAATGCAACACTGTACCCAAATGAAAAAAATTATATATATACATATATATGTGTGTGTGTGTGTGTGTGTGTGTAATATATATATATACAAACACACATATACATACACACATTTTTATAAGACAGACCAAGGTCTCTTTGGGTGGTATTTGATAACTTTTTTTTTTTACTAAAAAAAAAGGGAAAGACGTTTGACATATAAAAAAAAAAACTGTTTCCCTTGCTTTCTACTATAAAACATGCCAGAATGGTATGAAAACCCACAAAATTACCGCTTTTTTTCCCCCATAAGTGGACATCCCAAGGTGATGGTTTTTACCACTTTTTTTTGGAAATGAGCATACATGCTGGATTGGAGGGGGAATAGAAAATGAAGTTTGGGGATGATGCACTACATTCATCAAATGTACAGGTCATACACAGAGGGAGGATGAAGATGAAGGGTTAAAGTCTAGATGTGTGGACTAAGGACAATGAGGGGTTAATATACAATTAGGTCAGACCAGATGAAGCCAAAATATACTGTGTTGGGGTGTAGGTTTTTGGTATTGGTTACACTTTTATTTTAAATTGAGTGTTGTCTGGTATCAGGAACTTCCTTTTCATCTCGCACAGCGATCACTGTGTTAAAGCTGATGGTAACTGCATCCACTGTAAACCAACATGATTGGGCACAGCTGTCTTGCGGTACAGAGCCACGCTCACTGGTTCTATACCACCATTGATCTACACCATCTAATGAATTGTCCAATCACATTTTAATCTCTGGCAAGCACGAGACCCTAAAAGGAAAGGCCATTTTTAAACCAGCTTCCTGCCCACTTAGGATGCACTGCCCAGCCATTTATATATAATGGCCAGAAGACAAGTGGTTAATGCAGACTGGTGAGATTTACGAAAATAAATTAACAACTGTGCTTCCAGAGGTGCATCTTAAAAATTTTGAATTCTTACCAGATTCCTTTCAGTACCAACACAGCACCTCAGGTTAAAAAATGGATTTTCAGCAAGCTGCATAGTTATCCTCCCTAAAAAAGCTAGGAAAGTTAAAAGGTTTGACCAAAGATACTAGAAAGTGTCCAATACACTGCAAAAGTGCCTCTAAGTATTTCAATCAATCCAGAATTCCTAAGCAGCACCTTGAATCCTAAATGAAGGCCTTACATGTACCTTGACTTCTCCCCCAAATTAAACCAGGTCCCTGTCAAACAAATGACTACTGCCAGACACTGGAAAGAGAAATGGGCGTGATACAAGAAGTTCCATCATCCTATAAGAAAACAGTGGAGAAAACCCTCTTGGCAATGGGACCTTTGGGGCACAAATTACACAGAAAAAGGTTTTAAAGGATGTAAAAAAAAAAAAAAAAAAAAAAAACCCACAACATTTATACAGTATTGTAAAAGACAAAGTTACAACATATGGCAGCATCACCGAGCATAGTTTTACAGTAGATGAAGGAAAATGAGTCATGCATGCATTTGCACTGCTGCCCCGGTTCGGTCCCGGCTACTTCCACATGTCCTCTCCTCCTCCTTCCCAAACACAATGATGACACGCAGCCACCAGCAGTGCAGTCTAACCTTACACGAAGCTGAGAACTAGAGTCCTCGGACGGCAAGTGCCCCCACCCTTCCCAATCAGCACACTCTTCCCCGTCCCAGCTTCATGCCTTTTTTTTCCTCCTGGAGAGGGAGGATTACAGTCTGTCACTATTACCAGGTGTGGTGACATCACCTCTGCTAGGAGGGAAAATTGCCCCAGCCTGCCTGTGTCATCACAGCTGTCATTGGGCACCATGCATGCACTAACACAGTTGTCTGTCATCTTAGCTTCTGGACTGCCCCACAACATGTGCACCACCTATCAGTAACAGGACACACTTGCCACTTACTACTACGTGTAGTAGTGCCACATTAGCATCCCTTTTTATACCTGTACAATTAAAAGTCCCAATTGACTTGAACGCCCTTCGTAATATATATTACACACAGTGATCAGCTATTGCATCATCACCACTACAGTAGCATCTGACAGTGGGCGAGACATTGGGCAGCAAGTTAACACCTTGTCCCTGAAGCAGATACATAGGAAACAGAAAACACAGTAAACAGATTTGAGCAACTGTGACCAAATTGTAATCACTAGATAGCTGGGTCAGAGCAACTCCAAAACTTCAGCTTCTGTGGGATGTTCCTGGTCTGCACCGAAATGAAAATTGTATGCCAAAACCGATACCAAAAATTCAGAATGCATGTGGCCAAAAACCGAACCATCTGCGTATGTGGGGGTGGAGAGGCTTCAATTATATATATATATATATATATATATATATATATATACATATACACACACACACACACACACATCAATACATACACACACATTTTTTTAAACTTATTTTATTACTAAACACATAGGGGACAAATAGTCCCCTATGTCAGGGCTTAAAATTTCGAGTCTAGACCTACTAGCCAGGCACAAACCTTACTCTCCACCAGTTGCCCCACCCAACCTTGCCCAGGTCTGCCTCCAACCCCACCCCGCCCCCAACCACACCACCTTAAAGCTTATGAAATTACTTTTTTTTTTTTAGAATAAAGAGTCCAAAATATAAAACTGTATACAGTAATGTATATCCCCCCTCCCCTGTACTCCATTATAGTGATACGACATGTATACAGTAATGTATGTCCCCCTCCCCTGTACTCCATTATAGTGATATGACATATACAGTAATGTATATCCCCCTCCCCTGTACTCCATTATACTGATATGACGTATACAGTAATGTATATCCCCCTCCCCTGTACTCCATTATAGTGATATGACATGTACACAGTAATGTATATCCCAGCTCCCCTGTACTCCATTATAGTGATATGACATGTATACAGTAATGTATATCCCAGCTCCCCTGTACTCCATTATAGTGATGACATGTATACAGTATGTATATCCCCCCTCCCCTGTACTCCATTATAGTGATATGACATGTATACAGTAATGTATATCCCAGCTCCCCTGTACTCCATTATAGTGATATGACATGTATACAGTAATGTATATCCCAGCTCCCCTGTACTCCATTATAGTGATATGACGTATACAGTAATGTATATCCCCCTCCCCTGTACTCCATTATAGTGATGACATGTATACAGTATGTATATCCCAGCTCCCCTGTACTCCATTATAGTGATAGGACATGTATACAGTATGTATATCCCAGCTCCCCTGTACTCCATTATAGTGATATGACATGTATACAGTATGTATATCCCCCTCCCCTGTACTCCATTATAGTGATATGACATGTATACAGTATGTATATCCCCCCTCCCCTGTACTCCATTATAGTGATATGACATGTATACAGTATGTATATCCCAGCTCTCCTGTACTCCATTATAGTGATATGACATGTATACAGTATGTATATCCCCCTCCCCTGTACTCCATTATAGTGATATGTCGTATACAGTAATGTATATCCTCCTCCCCTGTACTCCATTATAGTGATATGACATGTATACAGTATGTATATCCCCCTCCCCTGTACTCCATTATAGTGATATGACATGTATACAGTAATGTATATCCCAGCTCCCCTGTACTCCATTATAGTGATATGACATGTATACAGTATGTATATCCCCCCTCCCCTGTACTCCATTACAGTGATACGACATGTATACAGTAATGTATATCCCCCCTCCCCTGTACTCCATTATAGTGATATGACATGTATACAGTAATGTATATCCCCCCTCCCCTGTACTCCATTATAGTAATACGACATGTATACAGGAATGTATGTCCCCCCTCCCCTGTACTCCATTATAGTGATACGACATGTATACAGGAATGTATGTCCCCCTCCCCTGTACTCCATTATAGTGATATGACATGTATACAGTAATGTATATCCTCCTCCCCTGTACTCCATTATAGTGATATGACATATATACAGTAATGTATATCCCCCTCCCCTGTACTCCATTATACTGATATGACATGTATACAGTATGTATATCCCCCTCCCCTGTACTCCATTATAGTGATATGACATGTATACAGTAATGTATATCCCCCCTCCCCTGTACTCCATTATAGTGATATGACATGTATACAGTAATGTATATCCCCCCTCCCCTGTACTCCATTATAGTGATATGACATGTATACAGTACTTACTCCTTGAGTCCCCGTGGCGGTGGAGAGGGTGTCTCCTCTCAGCGGAGGAGAGCGGACCTCTCCTGCTCCTGTCCCCTCAGCGGCAGTGCCGAAGAAGCCGGAAACTGGAACTGTGCTTCACAATGAGGCTTGGAGCACAGCCGCTCCATCATCTGTGCTCGCCGCTCGAGAATTTCTCCTCGCATTTGGCAAGCGGCTTTTTCAAGCCCTGCCCTATGTGATAGCATATGAGTGACAGGTCCTCTTTGTAGGAGGGGCAGTGTGTGTGCAAGGAGGGGGCAGGAGAGGAGCAGTGTATACAGAGAGGCTCCCTCACTGGCTGTCACTATATGTTGGTGCCAATTTTAAAATGCAATTGCAGGCTTTTTTTTTTTCCTTCACTATCGCTCCCAGAATTATCTGTCACTTTCTCCGGTGCTAAAGGAAACGGTTTCTTTTATCTTGGGAAAGAAACTAAAAAGGATACGATTCTTCTAGCTGGGGGGGGGGGGGGAAGCTGGTAATTACATTTAAAAACCAGCACTGATATAGTGATAGCCAGTCACTGTATACATTGCTCCTCTCCTGCCTTTCTCCTCCGCTGCCCCCCCCCCCCCTCACATCTGCAGTACACAGTCTCTTGTATCGGCACCCGTATCGCTAAATGCCGATGGGCTATTTTCAGCCGATATGTTTCGGTGGCCAAAATTTTGGTGCATCCCTATGAAAAAGGTCATTCTAGATGGGGTTGAGTAGTTGCAGACCAGTCAGGGTGCCCCCATTGACACATGTCCACAGCCAAAAGTGCCCAGAACGGATACATGAACATCAGAACTGGACCTTGAAGCAATGGAAGAAGGTGGCCAAGTCTGAGGAATCTAGTTTTCTTTTACATCATGTAGTTGGCTGGGTGCATGGAGGTCACCCACCTGGGGAAGAGATGGTGCCAGGGTGCACTATGGGAAGAAGGCATGACAGCAGAGTCAGTGTGATACTTGGGGCAACGTGGATGTTCCTTTGGAGTTTTTGTATCGACAGGTCGGGGCGGTTTTGGCAGCAAAAGGGGGACCTACTCAAAAAACACATCTACTTTAATCTCATACGGCAATGCTTTGGCCCAGTGACTTCCATGAAGTTAGTATTTAAGAGTGGCAACCTTCCAACCTAAGAGCAGTCAGGCACAAACTGTTCAAAAACACAAGACTTTCAAGATAAATTGTAAGATGCCTACTCCTACCCTGTGCATATTCCCCTAGCCTTAAATCTGCCACCTGAGCCCCTGAAAATCCAGTACAAGTTTCTTCTCTCTCAAAGTCAATACTTCACAGGGCTAAGCAAGCACCCCCTTTCCCCACTGCAATGTGAAAGCAGTCAGCCCCAGCAATTGGCCTCACTGTTGTGCACTAAATGCAGACTCAGACTTCCCTTCCAAGACCAATTTTTCCCCTTTTTTTTTTCCCCACTTTTAAAAACACCACACAAGCAGCACACAAGGGGCAGTATATGCAGAGACCTTTATTTTCACAGCAGTATGGAATAAGACCTACCAGGAAACAGAATGATGAACATGTTAAAGTACAGATGTAACATACAGTTGGTATAGAAAGAATCACCCCCTTTGAAATAGTCACATTTTGTTGCTTTGAAATGAAGACAGACAGTTTTTGTTTTATCCAGCTGTATACCCAGAACATCCAAGTAAAAGCTGTAAAACCGAAATGACAGGAAAAAAAAAAAAAAAAAAATCAAAAACCAGAAATCAATGAGTTGGAAAAGGGATTACCCCCTTGTCAGTATTTTGTTGAACTGCCTTTTGGTTTAATTCCATGCTTTAGTCTGTTGGGTTGTCTCTACTAACGTTGCACATCTACACTTTGCAATATTTGCCCACTCTTCCTTGCAGAACTACTCAAGTTCAGTAAAAATTAATGGTGACTGTTTGTGGACTGCACTCTTCAAGTCCTTTCACGTCTGGGCTCTGACTCTGAGGCTCTGACTAAGCCATGCAAGGACATTCACCCTTTTCTCCAACCTCTGTGTGGTCATTTTTGCTGTGTGCTTTGGGTCATTGTCATGCGGGAAGGTAAACCTATTTCCCATTGACAACTTTCTGACAGAGGGTAGCAGATTTTCCTCAAGAATTTGACAATATTTTGCCCCATCCATTTTCCTTCTATACTGACAAGTGCTCCAATCCCTGCTGCAGAGAAACATCCCCATAACAGGATATTAACACCTCTGTGCTTTACTGTAGGAATGGTGTCATTTGGATGGTGAGCTGGATTAGATTTCCGCCAGACATATCGTTTAGCGTTGAGGCCAAAAAATTCAATTTTAGTCTCTCTGACCAGAACACCTTTTTCCATGTGGCCTCAGAATATTCAGGGTGTGTTTTTGGCAAAGCTCAGAGATGACTGCACGTGGCCTCTCTTGAGGAGCAGCTTTTTTCTTGCAACCCTCCCATCCACATTTGCGGAGAATTTGTGATATTGTTGTCACATGCACACAGTGACCACTTTTTGTCATAAACTACTGCAAGTGCTTCAGAGTTGCTGTAGGCCTCTTGGTAGCCTCTCTGACCAGTTTCCACCTGGCTTTCATCCAGTTTGGAGCAATGTTCTGATCCAGGGAGGCTTTGTGTTGTACCAAATACCTTCCCAGTTCTTAATAGACTTTATTGTGCTTCTAGGCATTGAGAAAGCCTTTGAACTTTTTTTTTTTTTTATCCATCTCCTGACTTGTGCCTGTCCACAACTTTATCCCAGAGATCTTTTGACAGTGCCTTGCCACCCATAGTTGTCGCTTCAGTTGCACTAGCAAGGACTGAAATGCTCCAGAAAAGCTCTTTTCATGCTGAGCTAATCAAAATTAAGTTGAAAGTCAAATGGCTTTGTGTGCCATTGAAAAGGTGATTAGCTACACCTGACTGCGTTTACAATTTTGTTTTTCCCTGCTCAGCGATTCGGTTTTTGAAATTTTTTTTTTTCCCTGACATGTTGGCGTTACTTGGGATGTTATAGGTTGTAACTTCAGCTTGGTAAAACAAAAATAGTGTATCTTCATTTCAGGCTGCAAAGCGACAAAATGGGATTTAAAAGAGGGAGATTCTTTTCTATACCCAGTGCATGTAGGGGGTTCTCTCTTAGCATAGACACAGAGATCTGTGACTTTCGTAACATTCAACACCGACTGGACACAAAATACTCCTAAATTTTGTCGAGAAAGATAAAAATATTTTTATTCTTCTGGGATTTTAGTCACTTCCTGGGATGTGCCAAGAGCTTTGCTAGCAGTGGCCCCCAACTGACTGAACACTCAGCACCTCTGTCTTACCGAGTTGCCTAGTACACTACAACCTCAACTCCAAAAAAGTTGGGATGCTAGGTAAAATCTAGATAAAAGCACAGAATGCAATGATCTACATATCTCATAAACCCAACATTTCATTCACAATAAAAAAACATCAAATCTTTAAGCTGAGAAAATAAGCTAAAAAAAAAAAGGTAATTTTGAAAATGATGGCAGCAACACATTTCAAGAGTTGGGACAGGGCCATGTTTACCAGAGTAGTATCCCCTCTTCTTTTAACAACACTCTAAACATGGAATGGAGGAGACCAGATGCTTGAGGTATGGGAGAGGAATGTTGTCCCATTCTTGCCTAATATAGGATTCTAACTGCTCAACAGTCCTTGGTCTTGTCAGATCTTTACTTTTAAGATGAGCCAATAATATTCAATTGGTGAAAAGTCTAGACTGCAGCATCTTCTACTACAAAGCCATGCTCTTGTCAGATGAAGTATGTAGTTTAGCATTTTCCTGCTGAAAGGCTCGCTTATAGAAAGAATTTGCTAGAACGCAAGCATTTAACTGAATGAAAAATCGATTAATTCAGGTTTTGTTGTGATTAGCCATGGCTAATCACATGACACAGATTGGCTGTAATTGGCCCAGCCTGTGCATGTGATCGCTGTGACCATTCACAGCTAGACACACTTGTATACAAAAGGATGACGTGAAAGAAAGCCATCCATTGTATACAACTGTCATGTGACCTGCTGTGATTGGTCACAGCAAGTCACATGGTACTGGCAACGGGGCCGGTACACAGATCTGTCATCGGCTGGGTCTGAGGTACATGGCCGGTGACAGATTTCGCCACAGCGCAGCCCTGCAGGCATGAGCAAAGTGCGATCCGGGAAAGTTGCTATATGACGTCCTCCCGAAGGGACAAAGTATTCAAATGATGGCAAGTGGTTAAAATAGTACATTTTCTCCATTCAAATATTGGATGTTTTCTGTTGTGAATAAAATATGGGTTTGATATTCGCAAATCATTGCATTCTGTTTTTATGTAGATTTTACATAAACATTTTTGGAATTGTAAAGAAGAATCTACAGCTCTACAGTTTCCATGCAGTGTGATGCACTTTTCCGAACTCTTGAAGCTATCCTTTCATTTTTTTTTTTTTTTTTTTAAATAAACATGTTCCACTTACCTGCTCTGTGCAATGGTATTGCAAAGAGCAGCCCCAAACCTCCTTGTCTTGTGTTCCCCCACCTCCTCGATTGCCCCAATGGAAAGCCACTTGCTATGGGGGTACTTGTACAGGCTTTATCTCCAGCCACGCTGCCTGCGTCCATAGACAGAGGCTCGGACCCGCCCACTTCCCATTGAATTTTACTGACTATCAGATCTGATCTGCATAGAATTAATCAGTGTGAACCAGGTCTAAATGTTTCCAACCAATAAGATCTTAGAAATCAAAAAAGGAAGAAGCATAAAAAAAGAAATCCTTTTTCCCCTAAGGCTAGTTTACACTTGCAATGCCCTGTGAAGCATGAGCTGTGGTGGCATTTGATAAGCATTATGTCAATACCTCATCACCTGTTTTAACCCCTGAAAACCTTCACATCTGCCCATTCAGGTAAAATGGGCCACTTTCAGCAGGCAGCACTGCCCACCCTGTGGGACAGGGGGATCATTTTGTTACATGTGTATACCCCCTCTACTCCCTTTGCAGTTTAAAAGGGACAGCAGTTAGGAGGTGGTAAAAACATAGCTCAAACGCTGGTATTTACTGCTTCCCAGTCACAAGTATAAATGAGAACTTGAGTTGAGGGGATAGAACGATGCAACGATGATGGTGTGAAGGTCAGCTTCAACTTAGGATCCATTCACACCATAACACAGTGCACTGCAATATGTGTGCTTCTGTGAATTGACATGCGTTGTGT